TGCGCAGACCGCCGTCTGCCCGCAGCCTGTTTTTAAGCACAATCATTGGCCAAACTGTTTTTTTTCTGTATTCAGTCTGGCACAAAGGGAATCTCGTTAATCCACACCACTAGTACAGCATTTTCTCGGCAGCGCACCTCTGAATGGAAATCGCACGACTGCGCAGACCGCCGTTTGCACGCAGCCTGTATTTAAGAAAATTCATTGGTCAAAGTGTGTTTTTTCAGCATTCAGTGTGGCCCTAATTTTGTTAGTGACAGTAGGGACTCTCGTTAATCCACACCACTAGTACAGCCTTTTCTCGGCAGATCACCTCTGAATGGAAATCGAAGCTCTACGCAGACCGCCGTCTGCCCGCAGCCTGTTTTTAAACAAAATCATTGGCCTAACTGCTTTTTTTCTGAGTTCAGTGTGGGTAAAATTTTGTAAGTGACAGTGGGAATCTCGTTAATCCACACCAGTAGCGCAGCGATTTGTCGGCAGGGCACCTCTGAATAAAAATCGAAGCTCTGCGCAGACCGCCGTCTGCCCGCAGCCTGTTTTTAAGCAAAATCATTGGCCAAAGTGTTTTTTTTCAGCATTCAGTGTGGCACTTTTGTTAGTGACAGTAGGGAATCTCGTTAATCCTGTTATGTTCGGAGGATTTTCGCGTCGAAGGACTTTGATTTTTGATCATAAGCTGGAATTTGTTAATTAATATTTTTGGACGACGCTGGATTTACTTTTGTTCTTACCGTTGGTGATTTTCAGAATAAACTGGTTGAATGAATGAATGGAGAAATAGGAGATTTTGGATCGTACAACCTTGCGTTTTATTGGAGCTCTTAAATCGCTTTACATTGATTGGTGAAAATAATTAGAATTTTAAGGAACCCCTTGCAATCTTTGATGGTTCTATTGGGGATTTTACAATTTGATGGTTACTTACTGCGATCGGTTCTTATTTCTTAAAATGTGAATTCTTGGGGTGATTCCACCACGTTTCTCTGCCAGATGACAATCAGTACACTATCACAGATACTTAGGTGGAATACCTGTCTTTCACTTAGTTGTGTTGGTGAATTTTATTTATTAATTTGAGTCCAGGCTCTCAATAGTTTTTAATAGTCACTTAATAGTTAATTTTGAGTCACATCCACCATTCACCGACGATTACTACTTGTTCCCTTAATCTGCAAGAGATTATTCACTCTCGGTTTGAGGATACTGTATCCCTGAACAGTTACTAATTTATCTTCCCTAATATTATTCAGGAACACTCCGAAAACTTAATTAAAGATTAACTGCGAAATACCAGCCAAAAGTCGGACCGATTCCAATAATTATTCCGCCAGGAAGTTGTAGCTCTTTCGGGAGCGGGATTTTTCAGACTACTGGTTTTTCGGGAGGCTCCTCTATCTATTTTTACGAGGATTGGGAAATTGATTGGAGTGGGAGAGGTGGTGTGATTGCCACCTCTTTGATTTCGAGTTTAATGACCTGGCTCTACTTGCTAGGGAAAAATCGTAAGTCGCTCAATTTTCGTTGCAATGGCCTCTGTGGAATGCAGCGTTGCACATTCCCCTGAGGTCATTGGCGGTTTTTGTGTAATGCCCAACTTCCGTGGCGGTGGTTCATTGACTTTGGGTAGTTTAATATTTAATTACTTATGTAAATTGAATTGTTTTAAATAATCTGGACATTACTCCCCCGCGGAAAAAATCTCCTCTATTTTGGATGGGATTTTGTCGGAAGAATCTATTATTTTTTAAACGGTTCCGGTTCGCGCGTTAATCTTAAATTTGCTGGTGTCGGTCAATAAGGGGTGTGACCTAATTAGCATGCTAATTACGGCCGGCAGAGGCACTGGGTCACTGGACTGCGTGGGTGGTCATCCGTATCGGTAAGTGGGAGGTGTGGTTTTTGTGTGTTTTTAGAAGGTTTTAGTGATAAGGTAATTATGATTTTAACTTTTTTGCTAATTAGTTGGTCGGATCGTGGGGTAATTTTAGTTCTAATGGTCTTTGGTTGTTTTTAGATGCGGGGTTCCAGCCGCGAATGGAAGCGGATGTTTGGGCGTCAGCCCCGGGTAGATTTATTTAGGGTTGAGTGCGGTGTATCAATGGGCATCGTGAAGTACGTGGGACTCGTGTTGGGCCCTGATCCCAATTATCGTGGGCTGGCGAGGCTCCTGGACGAGCGATTCTTCGATGGGCGCCTCCAGGGGTTCACGGTGTGGCGGACTAAGGACTACAAAAGCTGTTTCGGCTACACCGATTTCCTGCGGAAGAAGATCGTCCTTCAAGAATGTCTCTTCTACGCAGGGATGAGCAGGACTTGCCTGGTGCGCATCCTCGTCCACGAGATGTGCCATGCCCACGTTGACATTCTAGGTGGGAACAGGGCGGAAAATGGGTCCCATGGGCCCAATTGGAGGGCGGAGCTGGAGAGGCTGAATCTGGCCCTCCAAATTAACATCGAGGACGAGAGTGACGTTGATTGGAGGAGGCCGCGTGAATCCGGCTTGAATATTTTATACAGGTGCGAGAAGTGCGGGAGGAAACAGGTTCGAGGAATAAGGAGGCCTCCGGATGCCAGTTTTTACTCCTGGTTTTCCCGCCATGAGAAGCGTTGTGGGGGTGCCATTATTGAGTGGTAAGTTTTTAATTTATGTTCTCATTTTATATTCTATTTTGTTTTTTAAATTTAATCCCCCCTTTTTTTGTTATAGGCCCTACGAGAGCTGGGATGAAGATTAGATTTTATTATTAGTATTCTTAGTGTTTAGTTTTTCTTTGTAAGTCTTGGGTATTATTAGTATTAGTATATTAGTATAGTATTTTGGTTTTATTATTTACTTTTCCTTTGTAAGGTTTTTAGTATTACTAGTGTGTTGTATTTTATATTTCTGTATTGTTCGTATATAGGTTTTTCTGTCTATTTATCTTTTGTTATTGGTTATTTTTATATTTTTCTCTTTTTATATTAATAAATTTACTTTCTTGTTGGAGTGTTAATGTTTTGATGTTTTGTGTGGGGGCGGGTGATGTGCGGCGCGCTGAGGGTGAGATTGCGTTCTCCTAGGGGAAGGGGATGTTAAACGCAAAAATAATTTCTGAACTTTGAGATTCTAAGGGTGAGGTCTCTCTTTTAGATTAATTAAATTTCGACTTTAATGTGATTCCGCTGAGTTAAGTTAACGGGACTTAGCGTTGGTGGTATCCCGCAGCTCTGTGGTGGTTGGCATCGCTTTTTTCTAGGGGAAGGGGATGTCAAACGCAAAAATAATTTCTGAACTTTTAGATTTTAAAGGTTAGGAATTGCTTTTGAGGTAATTAAATTTTTATTTCAGTCTGATCCAGGTGAGTAATAGCGTCAGTTAGTTAGCGCGGCGTTTGTCTATTCAGTCGGTAGGGGTTGGCATCGCCTTTTTCTCAGAACAGGGTGTCAAGTGAAAAATTAATTTGTGAGCTTCTAGATTTTACATTTTTAGGGCTCCTTTTGAGTTGTTTGATTTTTGTGACCTTGGTCCTCTGTCGGCCGATCTTTTTAGCCTTTTCGGGGCTTTCGCATCCTACATGTGTTACTACATACAAATATATAGATATACAGGGTGTCCCAAAAGTACGTGCCGATAATTAACCGGCATGTACAGGGTGTGAGCCTGACCCAAAAAGTCCTTTACCACTTTTGGATCGGAAGCACCCCTCCGGAGGTACTGGGGTAAACATGACAGCCAATGACGTCAAGCGGCAGTACGTCGGTGTGGCTGTCGCGCTCGAGTGTGAGTGATTCCCCTTCGAGCCCGAAGGAGGCGGGATCACGTTTCACATTCACCCGTGAGCGTGAGAGAGAAGTTATGGTATTCTCTCTCACTCTCTCGCATCACTCCGCGGCAATGTTCTTGCATTTATCTTTTAAACAATTGGGTTTTAGGGGTTTTTCCATTGATTATTATTTGTTGCAAATTGAATTGGCAACAAAATAATCTCATGGATAAATCAGCTAAGCCCCATTGTTCATTTAATATCAACAACAAACAGTTTGATCGTTTTTAAATGTTATAAAAAAAACGATGGGGCGTACGGCATTTTTCCATCAGATGTTTTCTGTTGCAAATTCGATTTGCAACAAAAAATAATCAATGGAAACATCTCCGAAAGCTCATTGTTTATTAGATAATTGATGAAGAGGATGTAATTTTCGAAGAAAATTCCGAACGACTGTAAGGCAGGGAAAAGGGAGAAGGAACCACGTTAAAAATGAATTGGTGGCCCTGAAATGGGCCGATTGAAGTTTGTCCATCCGTAGACCGTCTGACAGAGGCAGGCATTTCCTACAGTAGGTTTTCTATGTGTCCTCCACCTGCATGAAAGCAGAGCCTGGCCCTCTTGAGGAGATTCCTCCTCATGCCTTCTAGCTCTTCAGGGCTGATGGCTGCAACTGCAGCGTGCAGAAGAGCTATCACCTCCTCCTGAGTCCCTGGATGGTGCGCGTATATCCAGGCCTCCAGTGTCCCCCACAAGTAAAAATCCAGCGGAGAAAGATCTGCAGAACGGGGAGGCCACGCAACTGGTGGTTGCCGACGTCCACCCCTGTCCCGGTCGCTCCTGTTCCCGATCCAGCGATCTGGGAACCACTCGTCCAATTGGTGAACCACGGCCACAGACGTATGGACTGGAGCTCCGTCGTGCTGGAACCAGACAGCATTGTCGGCAGGACCGTCCCCGACGGCAGTTATGGGGCGATCTCGGAGAAATCCCAGATAATTGCCACCCTGAAGCATCAACAAATAAAATTTAGTTATTAAAAAAAAAATCCTTATTGTAACTGAATAAAGAATACTTACGTCGAGACGTACTGAAAGGTGGTGAATGTGAACTTCGTCACCAATAATTCCTCCCCAGATATTCATGGTGTCCCAACGAATCGGGAAATTGATTTCTTTCGTAAGACGAGGATTTTCAAAAGCCCCATGATGCTCATTGTGCTGGTTGATAATCCCCTTTCTGACGAAAAGCTTCTCGTCTGTCCAGCATACGTTGCCCATGAATTCTGGATCGCGACTTTTGTCAAGGAGCCATTGGCAGAAGTTCACTCGCTTCGGGAGATCTTCTGGCATAAGCTCCTGCAGCGGGGTAAGTTTCCAGGGGTGTAAACCCTCGATCCTCATCGCCCAATGATTTTGCTTAACCCGGTGCACCGTCGAAATGGAAGCGCCGACAGAAGACGCGATGCCCGGAACGGACATGTCCGGAGACTTCCCGACTCTCTGGAGAATTGCCTCTTCCAGATGTACGCCATCCGCACGTCTTGGACGCCCTTCGCCGTGCCTTGGGAGGACGTTACTCTCCCGCAGCCGACGAAAAGAATTTCGGAAACTTCGCGGATCGGGAACCACTCGGGTGGGAAACTGCTCCGCATAAATCCGGACAGCTTCCGCACCATTACCACCCGCTAAACCATAAACGGCCACCATATCCGCGTATTCCATTGGAGTAAAACGCACCATTGTCACAATGTTGATAACTTCACGGTCACACAACGAATGACTACGTCGAGGACGACTATCGTGAAAATCCGTTAAACAAAAGACTCGCGGGCGCGATCGCATGATGGTGAAAAAAGGACAGAGAAACATTGGTGTAAAAAGAGACGGAAGAAAAAAAAACGATCGCTGAGTTCCCTGAAAGAACATCCTTCTCAGAAAAAACAGGATTTTTCCATTGATTATTTTTTGTCGCAAATCGAATTTGCAGCAGAAAACATCTGATGGAAAAATGGCGTACGGCCCATCGTTTTTTTTATAACATTTAAAAACGATCAAACTGTTTGCTGCTGATATTAAATAAACAATGGGGCTTAGGTGATTTCTCCATGACATTATTTAGTTGCAAATTCAATTTGCAACAAATAATAATTGTTTAAAGTAGACATGAAAAAACGCCCCCCAACCCAACGACAATTAGTCCATGAATTTCGGACACTTCCGGGGTTCATCGGTATGGTGACCCGACGGTCAGCAACGAGCTTGGGACCCCCCAATTTTCAGTTATCAACGAATATTCGTACATTCAACGTCGCCTAATAAACATCTCAACTTTTACGTGTACCTTAACGTCCTTCAACATTCAACGTTACACCGCGAGCGATCTTAACCGACGCGCAACTTTTCGTTGTTAGCCAATGATTAATCAATTGTCTAAATCAACATAACTCAACCCGTTAAATCAACTCAAAGATTAATCACCGACTTTGTATATTTTTGTACATAATCTCGACAAGTGAATATTAAAACCCAGTGTTTTATACCTCGGTTTTTGTTCCACTTGATCACCCTTTTCCCAACACCCATTTCTAATTTTCCGACGCCCGACCACCCACAAGCAATGTCCTCAACTAAACATTGGTCCGTCGAGCCGGATCGGTGCGGAAAAAATAGTGAAAATTGTGAAAGTGTCGCGAATTTTCAACGGCGTAAGAAAAGGGACACCAAGCCATTTTCACAAACTCAACGTACCTCTCGAAAAATCGATAATCCCAACGGACACCCAACGCGAGAACAATAGATATTTATTGACCTCGCGCCTTTGTTTTCGGTTGTTTACATTTTCGAGTGCCTCAAATTCCTTGACCGCGTGTGCGAAAGTTCGGGAGTCCTCGACTATCTTTGCGCAACGACGTCACAGCAGTCCCCCACTCATCGGGACTGAGTTCAACAAGTGAGACCGGAGCGCACTCAACGCCAACTCAACGATCGATAACCCAACGGTCGATAACCCAACCGTCGGTAACGCAACGAAACTCCATGTACCATCATCGCAGAACATGCAGATGAAATAGCAACGCAGATCAACGAGCCCAACGTCGAGGTCAATGACGTACCTCCCATCATTGTACATGCTCCTGAAAAGCAATAAGAACGAGAAGAATGGGCAAATGCTGTGGAAGACCCAGCGCAACCTGACCTCAACAAAATAAAAAGAAGACTCTCTGAGATTCCAGACCTTCAACGCACAACGAGTCACTCAACCACCCTATCACCAGGAACCCTCAATCAATTGGAGTTCCTGGAGGATAAGGTGCTCGAATTTAACGGCACACACGACGAACTGATGCACATGACGGCCTCAGACACAACAATGGAAGAGCTCAACGGTCAGGAGGCGTATTTGAAGGAGGCCTGGATAGATTTTGCAGATCGCTCCCAGACAATCATTGGTAACTTGCCCTCAGATCACATTTTCATGAAGGGCAAAGTCTTCTTGAGGACAGGAGAACTCAAGAGAGAGACCTTGAAGCGTATCTGGAAGCTCAAGGGACAACTCGCAACGAAAGAAAAATTATCAACGGAACGCCCAACGACCACTCAACTAAAACGAATAGATTTGCCAACGTTCCGGGAACAATTCTCACAATGGAAGGAATTTTCCGATCTATTCCAGAACCTGGTGGGGAGGCGGCTTGATATGTTGCCAGCTGACAAACTTCTGACGCGGAAGGAAGCTCTCCAGGGTCCACCAGCGGAGCACATCTCCTCATTCACGGCCACAGACGCCAATTTTGAGAAGGCTTGGGAGAAGCTTCAACGACACTATGAGCATCCACGTCTCATTGCGGGGCATCTCTTCAACAGGGTGTCCAACCTGCCAACGATGGCCTAGGGAGATGCCAAGGTCATGATAAACAACGCTCACATTGCAACAGAAACTGTAGATCAGCTAATAAGCACCGCTGGGATACCAAAAGAAAATTTGGGCGAACAATTTGTATTCCACCTGCTCAAACGCTTAATGGAGGCGGACACGCGCATCACATGGGAGCAAAAGCTGGGTGCCTCAACAAACTTCGTACCCCTGCAAGAGCTAGTCAACTTCCTGGAGTCAACTGCCAGAGGCATGACTCCAGATGATCAACAGGACTCACCGCAAATAAAAACGAAACCAACGCCTCAGGGAAAACCAACGCAACGGGCACGTGCATATCATGTGGCTGAGACAGCACCTCAGCAAACAGAGACTCAACGATCCAGACCTGCTGATTGCTGCGCATATTGCAGGGACAGGCACTTGATTTGGGCAGGGAAAGTGCCCAGGATTCGAAAACCTTGCACCAAGGAAACGGTTGGAATACATCACAGGCATGCGCCTGTGCTTCAACTGCTTCGGCACGCACACGGTGGCAAAATGCAAGTGCATCATGGCTTCCTTCAAGTGCCAACAACGCCATCACACGATGCTGCATCTCGACCAAGAGAGGAGTGAATCCAGCACCTCATCCAACAACGCTCCGGAGGCACCAGCAACGAGAGAGGAATCAGGTCTGAGTGATTGATTTATTATATTCTTATACATCACTCAGAACACTGATCCCCCTTGTACATTCAATCAGGCGCGTTCATCAGTTCATTAACAGCCAACGTCAATGAAAAATGAACGGATCGAGAATCATCAATGCCAATCAACGTAGAGAACAACAAGTTGTACAACAACTCAACGGATCAACGACTAGTGCTCTTGGCTCCGGCAAAAGCCAGAGCATTCTCTCACAGCGGATTCTACACCATCGCAAGAATCCTCATCGATCAAGGCTCAGAGCTTTCATTTATTGCTGAGAACCTTGTGCATCAACTTCACCTACAACGAAGACACTCAACAATCGACCTGATCGGAATTGGTGGAAAGCACGCATGCAAAACGAGAGGAAGTGGCAATCACGCTCCAATCAACGAAAGAGCCATTTCAACAAGTTGAGATCAACGCCCACATCTTCAAAAAGCTAACCTCACGGTTACCAACGTTTTATTGCTCATCTGCATCAATCGGATCACTGCAGCAGCTTTAACTGGTAGATGAGACCTATTCAACACCTGGACCTATCTACATTATCATAAGAGCTGACAACTATGGGACAATCATCGGTCATAAAATCAAGAAATCTAACGACAATCAATTAGTTGGCCAACTAACGAAATTTGGATGGATCCGATCAGGTCCATTATGCTATGCGAACTGTTCAACGAAGACCTCCTTCTCCGCGGCAAGGGGATCCTCTAATGATCAATTAACGGAGCTTCTACAAAAATTCTGGGTCCAGGAAGAACCACCAACTCCAACGAATGCAACCAACGAGCTCACACCAGACGAACGAGAGTGTGAAGAACACTTTCAACGCACTCATCAACGAGACACAACGGGCCGCTATATTGTGCGATTACCACTTCGCACATCAACTACAGCGCTCGGAGAATCGAGGAGTACGGCGCTTCGTCAACTCCATTCAGTGAAACGAAGACTGAACGCCAATCCTGACTACAGCTAGCTGTACAACGACTTCATCAACGAGTACGAAGCACTTGATCACATGCGACGTACACACGATAACTCAGAACCATCAACAACATATTACCTGCCACATCAAGGGGTTCTAAGGGAAGATGCACTAACCACGAAACTTCGAGTGGTTTTCAACGGTTCCAACAAAACAACTTCGGGCATCTCACTCAACGACATCCTCCACGCGGGCGGAAAGCTTCAAGTGAATGCAATGGATGTTCTCACATGGTTGAGAAGACATCGAATCGGTTTTGGCACCGACATCGTCAAGATGTTTAGACAAATCAACGTGCACAAAGATGACTGGGACCTGCAACGTATTCTGTGGTTAGATGAAACACACCGACTGGTGACCTATCAACTCACCACACTCACATACTGGCAGAAATGTTCCCCATGGCTCTCTCTGAGAGTCCTGCAGCAGTTAGTCAACGATGAAGGTCAACGATTCCCAGCAGCAGTGCCACCGCTAACTAAAGGGCGCTACGTCGACAACATTTACGGTGGAGCTGACTCAGAGGAAGAAATCAAAGAAATGATAACTCACGTTCAACAAATCTGCCATGCGGGCGGATTTCCACTCCAGAAGTGGACGAGCAATCACCCAAAGATTTTCCAGCAACTCAACTTGTCAACGGGAACGACAGGGCCAGTGCAATTCGAGGAGGCCATAATAAAAACTCTCGGATTGTGTTGGCATCCATCGACGGACTCATTCCACTACAAAGCAAAGACCTTCAACTCAACGAACTTCACCAAGAGAACACTGTTGTCGGAAATAGCTCAGATTTTCGACCCTCTTGGATTCATCGCACCAGTCATAGTTCGAGAAAAAATATTAATCCAAGAACCCTGGTTGCTAAAATCAACGTGGGATGATCAACTGCCACTTGAATACGTACGACGGTGGAAACAGTTCAGGGACGAACTCACGCAACTCGACCTGCTCTCCATCTCCAGATGGCTGAGCCTATCTCCAACGATCACCAACGTACAAATACATGAATTTGCAGACGCATCGACGGTTGCCATGGGGGCAGTTGTATATTTACGCACTCAACGAGGCAACGAAACACCAACGGTCAACGTGGTGTGTGCGAAAACGAGAGTAGCCCCACTGAAGAAGATGACCATTCCACGCCTAGAGCTCACAGCCATCCTGCTGACAAAAATAGTCAGCTAGACCCAGCAAACGCTGGAACTCAACGCAGAGATATACCTCTGATCTGATTCATCGGTCGCCTTGGCATGGATCAACCGCCATCCTTCACGATGGAAGGAGTTCGTTCACAATAGAGTGACGAAAATCCAAGAAGAATTACCAACAGCTGTGTGGAGACATGTTGGTGGGATTTACAACCCCGCTGACTTTGCTTCACGTGGCATATCACCGAGTCAACTCAACGAACATCACCTGTGGTGGAAAGGACCTGAATGGCTAGCTAAACCGCCGTCAGTCTGGCCACAAAATACAACCAATACTTCAACGGAGGTCTCACTCGAAGAGAGACCAGCATCGGCTCATCCAGTGGCTGTTGAAGTTAGACAGCATCCATTGGCAGAGTTCCTCAACAGATACTCCACGTTGTCTAAGGTTCTACAAGTCGCAGCAACGATAACTCGAGCAATCCAACGATTTCGCAGGGAACCAACGCCAGAAACGCCAGTGCTAACAACGGGAGAACTCAACGAAGCGAGGATCGTCTGGGTAAAGGTAACCCAAAAACAATATTTTGAATCTGTGTTGCAGAACCTCAACGAGAACACTCAACTTCCTCGACAACATGCAATGGCCAAACTGACGCCGAGAATAGACGACCAAGGAATTCTAAGGCTGGGTGGAGGACTGAAAAACTCATTGCTCGATCCAGACGAAATTCACCAAGTGATATTACCACGGAAGTCTCGGTTACCAACATTGATCATCAACGAAGCGCACCAGAAAACCCTACACGGAGGAGCGCAACTCACCATGGCCTACATCAGACAACGATACTGGATTGTTGGAGGCAGAAAAACTGTCCAAGCGTTTATTCTACGCTGCTCTGTCTGCACCAGGTTCAGGGCAACACGAGCACAACAGCTGATGGGTCAGCTCCCAACGCCGAGAGCAACACCTTCACGACTATTCCTGCACACTGGAATTGATTATGCAGGACCACTTCCAATTCTCAAATGGAGACCAACGAACGCTCAACCATAAACTGTCCATATTGCTGTCTTTGTCTGTTTTAGCACATCAGCCATTCACCTAGAGCTGGTCAACAGACAAACAACGGACGCGTTTATTGCTGCCTACAAAAGATTCACTGGAAGGCGAGGCATTCCAGCTGTAATGTACAGTGACAACGCCACAACGATCGAGGGAGCAGCCAACGAACTCAACAGACTGTACAATCAACAGTCTCCCGAGAACCAACAAATTAGAGCAGCATTGGCACACAATGGCACGCAGTGGAAATTCATCCCACCAAAAGCCCCTCACTTCGTAGGAAAGTGGGAAGCTGCGGTAAAATCAACGAAGTATCAGCTACGACGAGTGCTGGGAACCACAACATTAACTTATGAAGAGTTAAATATGGTCCTGGTACAGATCGAGGCCTGTCTCAACTCGAGGCCAATTGTCCCAAAGACGGATGACCCTGATGACCTGCAGGTATTAACACCAGGGCACTTCCTCATCGGAGAGCCTCTCCAACTCATCCCGGAGCCATCTCAACTCGACGCCAACACAACGAAAATTACCAGATGGAATCTGGTGACTCAAAAAACTCAACAATTCTGGTACAGATGGTCGAGAGAATGTCTTCAACTTTCATTCAACGTATAAATGGAATCAACGTCAACGAAACATCAAAGAAGGAGACATGGTCTTGATGATCGACGATGATCAACCTCCAGCACATTGGCCTCTGGCGAGAGTTAGTGCTGTAAGGCCAGGGGCTGATGGACTCGTAAGAGTGGCTGAATTAATAACAGCACGAGCAGAAATCCCAACGAATCGGGACGGAGAGCCAGAGCCACAGAATGCCCGACTTCAACGTCTCACCTTCACCAGACCAATAGCGAAACTCTGCTTGCTAACAACGGATCCACCACCAGAAAATCAACGAGAAGACACCAACAAAGATCAACTAGATGACAACCAGAGTGGATAATCAGTGAGGATTCATCACGAGGGATGAATGCGGGCGGGATGTTTAAAGTAGACATGAAAAAACGCCCCCCCAACCCAACGACAATTAGTCGATGAATTTCGGCCAATTCCGCGGTTCATCGGTATGGTGACCCGACGGTCAGCAACGAGCTTGGGACCCCCCAATTTTCAGTCATAAACGAATATTCGTACAGTCAACGTCGCCTAATAAACATCTCAACTTTACGTGTACCTTAACGTCCTTCAACATTCAATGTTTAGTCCAGGCAAATTAGGTCTAACATATGTGTTTCATAGAGCCAAGACGCTTTTTATGTTGAAATGTGTGTTTTGATCGTGTGATTAACGGGCAAGTACTTTTAAGTGATCAAAGTTTGGGCAATTCGAGAAAAAAATTAAAAACTACCCTCAAAAATGCTTTTTCGCGATTAACTTGCAAAATACACTAGATATGGAAAAAAAGGTCAGATATAATTTGTAGAGCAAAATATTTCCGATAAAAAACATTTCAAGCACTTCATCCCTATTTTGTACCGTTCAACCCCTACAGCCGTTCAAATGTACTGTGACGAGGCAGAATTTTGCGCCCCCCCCTGCCCCCTAATTAATACAGCTTATTTTTCCTAGGTTAAGTTAGGTTTAAGTTACTCCTTTTTCGCCACCGTTGGGCAATCCATCGCCAGATATTCCTTACCCCCGTCCCCGTTTCCCCCCGCCCTAGCACTCACGCATCCAGGAAGAGGATCCCACGTGACCCCGGAAGAAAGAGACATCCCCCGTGCGAGATTCCCAGATGAGAAGGAGAAGGACGCCCGATGGCCCCCCCAAAACCAGGAAAGACGTAGTGAAAATGATTGGCAGCTATCACTCGTGCCACAACTGCCCCACGAGTCACTGCCCGATTAAAGGAGAATACTTATTGTCAGGAGGAAATACTGTGTGAAGAAGAAAGAGTGTGAAGGACTAAATGTTGTGTAAGAGGGACTATCAATGAAGGAGAAAGAGAGTGAAAAATACTGTGGAGGATTCTGTGCGTGAGAGGAACTATTGAGAAAGAGAGAAATATTGTGTGGAACTGTGAGGAAAGGATTTAATTGCGAGGAACTATTTCGGTTGGCGAACGT